AGTTCTTGTTATCAAAAGGTCAAGAGCGTGGCCTTTCTTGTGTGTAGAAAAACAGTCAAGTAGATCCAAAAATTTCTTGCTTGAATTGTCATTTTTGTCATCGACATGAACATTAAAGTCACCACAAATCAAAAGCTTACCAGGATAAATAGACAACGGTTCTAACAATGAGGAGAAGTCTTGAATGAAAGATCCAAACGACGAGGAAGGAGGTCGATAAACAACAACAACAACACAAAACACTTGGTCACGCGAACAAAATTTCAGCTCAATTGATTCAAAGGAATTATAAACAGCAGATTCACATAGTTTTACATTGAAGRAATTACGATAAATAACAGCCAGACCACCACCACCAGAACGATTTTTACGAGGAAGATGRRAAATAGAGTAGCCAGAGGGACACACATCACGGATTTCAAAGTCAGAGTCATCTTTTAGCCATGTTTCAGTCACAGCAAATAGGGTTTTCTTATTCAAGGATCTTGTATTTAGAAGACAAAAAATCTTTACTCGAAGGTATTTGAGACGAGATTCGAACCCGCGATCCTCTGTTCGACGCCGCTGTTCGAGTATCATCTTGTTTCTAAAATTTAACGCGGCTCGTCAATATTGATGAAACAAATTGCTACGATAAAAATCTAACATGACTAGAACACTTATATTTCAGTTAAAAAAAGAAAGAGAGAAAATTTTAAGGAATGCTCCAGTCGAGGATCGAACCTTGGAACTCTTGGTTATGGGTCCCTTGGGATTGCGAAACTGCGACGTGGGAAAAAAAAATAATTATAAAGTCGCTGCATTTTATAACCGTGCCGCAAGCCTTCGGCCTGGACACGGTAATAAATTACGCGGGATATTGGGAGAACACGATAAAGGTGTAGAGAATCTCTAAAGCCTTTTGAGTGTTTCGCCAATATCCCAAGTGGTTTATTTAACCAGGAACACTCGAAATTGTGTTGTTTATTGCTTTTATATTATASCATTTTCGCATCCGTGGGTTTACCGGTGAAATAAACAATAACATTTGACCAATCAGAAAGCGCGTACTATGATAGCTATAATGTAAATTATGGTTACAATGTATCAAACTGTGATTCATATGGAAACGCTGTTTATCCAAAATCAATTTCAAGCTATTCAACAACTTAAATGAAGATATTGTTTTCTGTAGAATTCGCGTACAAGCTGTAAACAAGATCGGATGCGGACCTTTCAGGTATATCGAAATGAAATTTATAGGACACAATGTTGCACGCTATATAAAGTAAAACAGAATTCATGAACTAACTCGTTATCTCGGCTTTACTTTGTTTATTCACAACAGTCCACTTACAGTTGGTACGACTCGGGATCTTCCTCCACTAGCTCCAGCTCTTGAGCTTGCTTCAGCTTCTTACCAAAGCCTTAAACTCAGATGGGGCAACCCCACTTCAAAGGACGCTCTTGGTTTAACCTACATATTAAAAATGAAGGATAACAGTGGAAAGTAAGACTTTAAAAATAATGCGATCCTTCAAATACATCTATATACTAGATGATAATACACGGGTGCGCGGAAATACGAACTATGTTTTTGACTGGTCTTGAGATATCTCGAATGTTATTCAATCATCCCTCATGTAACGAAATCATCGGGACATSGGGTCTAGAAAGATCCAGGTCGAAGCCGGATGCAGATCTAATGAGGYTGTTCACACTGCCGCGTCATTCAGTGTGGGAAAAAGACCTGAACTTTATTTTGGGGTATTATATGGAGTCCATTGACTTAAACCGGCGTTGTCGTTAATCTGGTTCATCCCTAAACACCTAGACCGTAAAGGATTGCGGGTAAATTAACATGAATAATCAATTGCTCTC